TCACCTCAGCCTCCCAAAGGCGCGGGATTACAGGCTGAGCCACCGAGCCCAGCTATTTCTCCCATCTTTAAAACAAATATATATGGCTGGGCACAGTGGTTCACACCTATAATCCCAGCACTTGGGGAGCCTGAGTGGGACGATCCCTTGAAGCCAAGAGTTTGAGACAAGGCTGGGCACCACAATGAGACCCTGTCTCTGGAAAAAATAAACAATTAGTCACATGCAGTGGCGCATGTCTGTAGTGTCAGCTACTTGGGAGGCTAAGGCAGGAGAATTGCTTGAGACCGAAGATCGAGGTTACAGTGAGCTATGATCATACCACTGACTACACTCCACCTGCCTGGGTGACAGAGTGAGATCCTGTCACTATAAATAAAGAAATGAATGAATAAATAAATAAAACACAAACACTTCTGATTCTTCTTTCTCAGCCAGCTATCATTCTACTTCTGGTTCATCTTGGCAGCAAAACTCACAGAAAGCATTGTGTAGGCTCGCTTTCCCCCAATCCCTCTCCTTCATACTTTCTCTACAAGCTCATTTCAATCAGGCATCTGTCCCACTACTCCTCTGAGACTGCTCTTGTCTGGGTTACCAATGACCACCATGATGGCTACATGTAATGGTCCTCAGCCCCATCTTGACCTATCAGAGCACTCAGCATTTCCTTCCTCCCTGATATACTGTCTTCTCCAGCCTTCCAGGACACTCTGATTGTTTCTTTCCAGTTTTTTTTTTCCCTAGTTCCTTCTCTTCTGCCCAACCACCTAAAGGTGTCCCCCCTGAGCCTCGGGGCTCATTTCTTGTCCTCTTTACAGATCTACTCAACCCCTTGTGTTTTCCTCCAGGATCATGACTTAAATAACATCCTTATGCCTATGATTCTTCCATTTGTTTCTATTTCCAGCTTGGACTTCTTGCTGGAACTCCTTCTGTATGTCTCCAACTACCTTTTCAACAATTCTACCTGTGTATCTTAAACATCTCAAGCTCGCCATCTTTAAAACTGAAGTCCTGATTTTTTCCCCTGCAAAGCTGTCATATATTCAGTCTTTCCTATATCAGAAAATGGCAATTCCATCCTTCCAATGACTTCTTTGACTTTGACTCCCCTTCTTCTCACATATCTAACCCATCAGGAAATGTTGTTGGTTCTAACTTCAAAATAGATCTGTGATCCAACCACCTTTCACCAGCTTTCCTGCTACCATTATGCTCTGAGCCATGGACCTCTCTTGCTGAATTGCTGCAACAGTCTCCTCATTGTCTTCCATCTTTTGTAACCCCCATCAGTCTATTCTTCATGCATTAGCCAGAGTAACTCTTTTAAAACTTAAGTTCACTCAAGGCCCTCCACTTGGCTCCCCATCTTAGAGAAAAAGCCAAAGTACTTTCAATGGCTTACGAGGTCTTACATGATCTTCCCCCTCCTCCCATATCTCTCAGACCACTTTTCCTATTACTCTCTTCTTTGATTATTCTGCTCCAGCTACACTAGCCTCCAAATACTCCCGATATAGTCTCACCTCAGGGCCTTTGCACAGGCTCTTGCTTCAACCTGGAATGCTCTGCCCAGATAGAGATAGGCATAGAGCTCTCTCCCTTGCTTTTGTTAAATCTTTGCTCAAGCCGGGATTGGTGGCTCAGCCTGTAATCCCGCGCCTTTGGGAGGCTGAGGTGAGTGGATTGCCTGAGCCTGCGGGTTCGAGACCCGCCTGGGCAGCGAGACCTCATCTCTACAATAAATAAAAAAATCAGCCGGGTGTGGTAGTGCATGCCTGTAATTCCAGCTACTCGGAAGGCTGAGGCGGAAGGATCGCCGGAGCCCAGCAGGTCGAGGCTGCGGTGGCCAGGACTGGCCACTGCACTCCAGTCTGGGCGACCAAGTGAGACTCCAACTCAAAAAAAAAAAAATTTGCTCAAATGTTACCTTATCAATGAACCTGCCTTGCTCATCATGGAAAACAGTGTTTTCCAAAGATGACAGCATAAATGTATCTCCCATATGCTCTTCATATAACATGATATTGATACTCCTCTGTTGAGAGGTGGTGGGGGGGGTTATCTATGTTCCTTCTCCTGGAACTCAAGTGGAGCTCTGAAATTGCCTTGGCCAACAAAATGTGATGGAAGTAATGCTGTAGGATTTCCAAGGTGCCGGGCTTGGTGGCTCAGCCTGTAATCCTGGGCAACTTGGCGAGACCTCATCTCTACAATAAATTAAAAAAAAAAAAAATTAGCTGGGTGTGGTAGCACATGCCTGTAATTCCAGCTACTTGGAAGGCTGAGACGGAAGGATCGCTGGAGCCCCAGCAGGTCGAGGCTGCAGTGGCCGGGAGCGTCCACTGCACTCCAGTCTGGGCAACAGAGTGAGACTACAACTCAAAAAAAAAAAAAAGAATTTCCGAGGTTATGTTACAAAGGCAACATGGCTTCTACCTGGCTCTTTCTTAGGACATTCACCCTGAGAACCTAGCTTCCATGCTGTGAGGAAGACCTGGTTCACATGGAGAGAGTCAGGTGAAAAAGAACGTAGGACCCCAAGTGATAGTAAGTATCAACTGCCAG